AATTATGAAATTGCATGCCTGTAGTTTTTATTGAATTAATAAGCGTAAATTATTGTAATAAAAAAGCATTTTGAGCAATCCAAAATCCATCAAACGAAGAACTCTTCTTACCTTTTTCGGGTGAATGCAAAAGCACAAGAAAAATTAGATAAAATTGAAATAATTAAAACAAATAAAGAAATTAAAATCATTAAGAAAATATAATAAATATTAATTTTAAAAATATTTCTAATGAAAAACTTCGCCGTCAGCAACTTATTACTTTCACAATTTCTCTGCTGCAGGGAAAAACGGGAAAGTGATTCACCATAAAGTTCAATGCTCGACCCCAACTTGGTGGTCATGCAAATGTTATCCTTCACATTTTAACAGATACAACACTGAAAGCACTGCCCCTTATGGAGTTTATGTATGTACATTAACATTTGCTGCTAGTTAACATTCTTGAAAATCCGCTCCTCAAAATTACCACAGTCAGAGCAAACATGAAACTAAGAGAAAAGAGAGAGAGGGAGAAAGAATGAGAGACGAGTTCGTAAGGAGCAGGAGAGGAATTCCTTCAAAGCATTATGCGCCTCAAGAGCCAACAGTTCCAAATAAGCCAAATTGCAGAAATGTACGCCAAATGCCATTGAACAACAGTTTCTGCTGCTTCTGTAGCAGTGTTAAACCAACACGAAGAGCAACAGTACAAGAAGTCACAAGCAGCAGGATTCGCCGAGTGTTAATGTGGTCCACAGAATTAAAATTAAACCTATAGTAGCGGCAGCAATACTGCCAACAGCCATCATAAGCACTGACAGCGAGCTTCATGAGCATCAGCAGTTGCTTTCTACGCTCAGTTGTTGTTGGACTACAGAAGCATCGTGTTGGGCATCGCTTAACAAAGCGGACACCAAAGCTGAAGGTCTAATTTTTGAGCAAAACAAAAAAGATAAACATTTAAATAAAAATATTAATAACAGTGTTAAGTACACGAAGTGAGAGAACGTGAGAATTCGGCAACGGACGAATAAATACGAACTTGTGCTTCCTAAAGAGAAAATCGACAGTGTAACCAAACTCTCTGTTGCATATATTGTATCACATGAGAATATAAAATGAGTAAAAAAAACATTGAAAAACGGATATGAAAGCAAATATATACAAGCAAGTGTTGCAAGTGTTACTCTATATTGCCTAGTAGCGGTATTTCACAAGTGCACGTAAAAAGTACAAGACAACAAGTGAGTTGTGGTATTTTTACGCTTTTCTCTTTAGGCATTTTTCTTCCTTCAATTTTAACTCAAAACAGAAATGTGTTGAATGTATGTATGGTGGGGAATGTGTGATGTTGTTGGCACATGTTCATCTGCGGCATTTGTAGCGGCTGAAGAAAAAGTTCACACACGAATGATAACTGCAAAAACACAAGAATATATTTATCGAGTAAAATTTGTAGAGTATTAAAATATATATTAAATTTACTTGGTTTTATTTTATTTAATTTAATTATTTTTTTTGTTTTATTTTTTATTATTATATCTTATTCTATTTTATTTTAGTTATTTTATATTGTATTATTTTATTTTATTTTATTTTATTTTATTTTATTTTATTTTATTTTATTTTATTTTATTTTATTTTATTTTATTTTATTTTATTATATTTTATTTTGTTCTTTTTAATTTTGTTTCATTTTATTTATACTTGCCAACAAGAAGGAATATATACCGTTAAAATACGCAATATAAATTGCACTAACTTCCCACTTCCTCTTCACACCCTTAGCAATAGTTTTTGGAAAATTTGAGTAGCTTAAAAAGTTTTTCTGTTTGAAAATTTGCCTTCCCGACAGCTAAAGAGCGGAAAATAGCTGAACTTTTTAAAAACAAAAAGGATAAAATGCAAAGAAGTAAACGGAAAACTTTCAAAATTAAGTGTCACAAAACACTTTGAACTTCTGCGCAGATTTTTAAATTAAGTTGTAAAAGCAAACGAATAAATGCTGATAAGAAGAAGGATGGGCGAAAAACCTAACAGGTGGTGCTGAGTAGGCGTAAGTTAAAGGAATTTCGCCGACAGCTGAGAGGAAAGTCTACCAAACAGAATAAAAGAGTGAAAAGATGAATAATACTGAGATAAGTAAATAAAAATTAAAGTAAACAGAATTTTTTCCCACTCGTTTTCGGGTTGAGTAAATAAAACGGCGCTGCGGATATCGAAAAAAAGGCACCGGAAATTCAAAAAAGCGTGATGCGGCAGCAGAATCAGTGAACAAATTGGCGTATATTTAAAGCAAAATGGCAAAAGACAATATGGAATTTGAAATGCATAAAGGGAAAAAATTTCATATTACAAAAGTAAAACAAAAAGGACTGCAAAGGAGAAATGTGAAATGCGAAAGATTTGAACAACTTCAGCTGTGGGGACAAAATCAGGTTTGCGTCAGCAAAAACAACTGGGCTATGCGGGCTTGGGTGGCTAAGGCGAAATCCTTTCAACATTCGACACGCGTTGGCTGCGAAACTTTCAACAACGCCAGCAAGCAAGGATTAAAGCAACCAAAACAAGTGAAAAGTTTGCTTTGCGTTTGCAAGTGATAGCAGTAGAGCAAACTTTGTATTTTTCACAAATGAACGCCTTCATGGCACGCCCTTAGGTCCAATGGGACACAACTTTTGCGCAGATCAACACTTCATGCACATACACACATACACATATATATAAATAAGAGCTAAAGCGCCAGTGAAACGCGGAAGCTAACAGCATTCCTTTTTTTTTTTTTGTGTGCACACTTTCGTGAAAGTTTTCACATTCCACCTCACCTCACATTCGAACTGGACAATGGCAGTATTAATACGTCTAAAACGCCCAAGCTTTGGAAGACGCTTTTCGACTTTCTTTGGCGACATTTAGACGCAGAAAATGAATTATTTAAAGAAATTGATTGAGCTGCAACATTAGCCAGTTTCTTTAAACAAAAAAAGAAAAAAGTTCTTCTCTCATTGGAAATTTGTTCAAAGAAATTTATGTATGCAAAATATGCAAAAAGCGAAAAATCTGTCTGGACATGCATCTTTATTTTTCACTCACTATAAGAGAACTGTCTATTTTCTCTGAGTAGTTTCTTTTACTTGAGCTGATTACCTTTGTGAATAAACTCTGGCTCTTGTTGAAGGCATATTTATTTTTTTTTTTTTTAAACTTTTTCTCATTTATAAGTATTCACTTTCTGTTTTTACATTAAATGAATAAATTTCATTTATTCAAATATTTTTAAATTAATTTGTTAAATTAACACATTCCCCAATCACTTTAAAATATGTGGCTTTTACGGAAAAAGCTTTCAGAAGCTTCAGGTATCTCGTCCAGTGCCATTTTTTTTAACGAAATTAATCCTCAGCAGGGCAACAAAATTTGCATCATCTCTCTGAGTGTTGACACATGTAGTCATCAGAAAAACATACAGTGACATATTAAGCAGCAAAAACAGCAGTGTTCATTTGGAAAAAAAACGTTGACTGAGTGTAGTAAGAGTGGCTCAAGCTTTGACGTAGTGAAAAAATTGCACGAAATCTATAGTGTTTTAAATAATAAGAGGCAACAGTGTCGGATTACAGCACAAAGTACAAAATGTAATGGGAAATGGAAAGAGTTTTTTAAATTAAGTGTATTAGAAAAATTGATATAATAAAAATGAAGTAAAATAAACTTATTTACATTAAACAACCAATAGCAAAATGAAATGAAAAAATATGAAATAAAAGAAGTAATATAAAAACTAATAATAAAGTAAAAGCAAAGAAAATAAAGTAAGTAAATTAAAATTAAAAACAAATTAAATATAGTAAAATAAATGAAATCAAAACGGTTTTAAATAAAATGAACTCAAAAAAAAATAAAATGAAATGAAATAAAATAAACTAAAAAAAGGAAAATAAAAAATAAAATTAAATTGAAATAAATTAAATTTAACCAGATTAAAATGAATTAAATTTAACGAAATGGAATGAAATGAAATGAAAAGAAAAGAAATGTAATGAAATGAAATGAAATGAAATTAAATGAAATAAAATAAACTAAAATAGAGAATAAATTAAATTTAAAAATAAATTAAATTAAATTATACTATTGTAAATTAAATGTAACTAGATTAAAATAAATAAAATTAAACGAAATGGAATGAAATGAATTGAAATTAAATGAAATGAAATTAAATGAAAGAAAATGAAATGAAGAAAGGTGAAAAGAAATTATATAGAAAACCTTAAATAAAATGGGTAAAAACATAACAAGATGTATGAAATAAGATATTAAAAGAATTTAAAAAAAAATAAAATAGATTTTACTAAAGTAAAATTAAATTAAAATATTTCAAACCAAAATGGCACTAAATTGAACTAATTAGTACTAGTTAATTCGGTACCTATTATTGGTGCTAAATTTTTTTTCCTTTTTATTAAAAATCGTAGAGGAATGCATCATTCAGAGTGTTGGTTCCCAATTCGCTTCGCATCCGTCGAAAAGCCCAGTGGTGAGGAGAAACATGGTACGCAGAATACGGCGGTTGGGAAAAAAACTAAAATGGCCATGGGTTTTTATGTTGCAAAATCACTTGGTCGTTTCTTGCGGCGGTTTTCTGCTCATTTTTCATGCAATGCACGGCCCAACAGCATCATTTGTGTTCGATAACGTTTTGCAGTAATGGTTTCGCCTGGTTTTAGCTTACGTCTTTCTTAAGGATACAGATCTTTTCCGGCGCATCTAAGTAAATAATTTTTAATCAGCCAGCTGAACGCCTCTGCTGCTAATGCTGCACAGTTTTTAGGCTTTATAATAATTGTTATTATTATATATGCTTTTTTTAAATAAAAAAATAAAAGAAAAACAATTATTAACACCACCAAATGACAGATGCATTAACCTATTATATTTATATTAGCTGGCAAATTGCTAAAAATATATATTAATTCCAAAACCGCATAATAACAAATTACTATTTCTCTCTTCACTTACAGCCTTTAAACAAATCCCAATAGTGTGGTAAGTTATAAAACTCAGTAATTACATACACATACACAATTTTCTTGCTATGAAAAACTTAATAATTACTCAAAACCACATAATTCCTGTGATCACTTGTGTATGTTACAAATTGTGCCTGAAAAAAGTAAATATTATAATAAATTTCATCTTTTTATTAGGTTTTAACTTATAAAAGTAACGTATACGCCGTGTCATTTCAATATACTATTGTATAAAATAGTACTTAAATAAATAGTATACAAAAATACATCAACAAATTTGTCGCTAAATTTACATTCGAAGCTTTAACTAATTACACAATTAATTATTTACACAACAAAAACAGAAGGGAAAGCAAATAGCATAAACAAAAGTTACTTATACGCCGCGTAAGCTGCATTAGTGTATATATTTATATTCCGTTTATTAGGCGACAATTAATTTTATACACCCACATGTTGGCAAATGTATTTGTTTGGATATGTAATTATATATATTTTGTTTATTTAACTTGCAACATTTACATTTACATGCGCTTTCACAGATATAGACGTTTGTGATTGTTGCTATGCCGTCTGGCAAATGTGAAAATGTTAATTATGCTCGCTCATGCTTTAGCAAATATCTACGTTAATGAACTTAATAATTCAAGCTGTGGCAAATAAACACATGTTCACACAATAACATAAACATTTGCAACAAAAGCTAGAACTGAAACATAAATAGGAAGGTAGAGAGTGACAATATAAGTTATAGCTTACAGTGGAGAGAATTTAAATTTTACTACAAAGATTTGTTCAGAATCAAATTGCCACGATATGGCTTGCGTATAATCCTTTTTTGAAAGCCCCACTGATCAGTTGCGTCTGACTTTTCTGAAAATCTCACTAGGCCACTTAAATAGAATTTATAAAATTTCCATAGGAATAGCCGTCAATGTTTGCGAAAACTTATTAATTAACGTATTAATATAATGCCAAAATTTTTGCTTAGATATGTTTTTGCTTTAGAAAATGACTTATTTGTGTTATGCCTGACTGTAATCATGCAAATACACTTACACATATACACCACTGGTTACTAGTTAATTCTACATGCATTACACATTCGTATATGCCTATTAGTATTATTATTATGTGCATTTACTTACGCCTATGGCTGTATATGCTCATGCATACGTAACTTTGCGCAGCTGGGAAAATTTTATTAAACTAATTAAAAATTTAGTGGCGGCAAATCTCAGCGCCATATGCTGTGGGCTAGCAGTAATGGTTATAGCTGCATCAGACATGTATATAACGGTGATTACAATAACTTTTAACCGCATACAAACAGTTTCCACCGTTATATGCTACCAATATACTCGTGTGACCAATATTTCAATCAAAATATAAAAACTTGGTGCTATAAATATAATATAATATGCTTCTATGCATATATACTAACGTTATGTAGATATATCATTGTATGGTTTATGAAAATATTTGTAAAATTAACTGCTGCTCAACAGTAATGGTTTTGTTTACCGTTACTTACATGTGTGTACTGCTCTCGTGCGGTTTTTAGTACTAAGGTATAATGTTATGTTTTTGGCCATGATATTTTTTTTATTTCATGCTATTTAATTTAGTTTTATTTCATTTTTTCTTTTTTTCTTTTTTTATTATTGTTTTATTTTATTCTATTTTATTTTATTTATTTTATTTTATTTTTTTTTATTTTATTTTATTTTATTTTATTTTATTTTATTTTATTTTATTTTATTTTATTTTATTTTATTTTATTTTATTTTATTTTTATTTTAATTCATTTATTATTTATCATTTATTATTCATTTATTTTTGTATTCATAAGATTTTTCTTGATTATTTACAAAAAAAAAATTCTGCATATTTTTCTTTTAGTTTTAAGTTCCTCTTTGCTCGTTCAAAATTATCACAACCGACTTGATATTTGCACCATTGAACTCTTTCTCCTACTACTGGGCTACATATACATACATACACCACACTATACAAACCCTCTACGCTTAAGAACATCCGAGTGCTTCTAGGGCCAGAAGGCCAACCACTTGTAAATTGTATTGCTGCAAATTAGCAACACTAAGTGAAAATAAAAGCAACTGTAAATTACTATGTATATTAACTGTACACTTCGTCCTGTGCTCTTGAAACTTCTTCACTACCTACCAGCTTGCTATTCTCACTTGGTGCATTGCACTTTTGTACGTTGACTGCTTGAATTTTTATATTTCAAAACTTTTTAACACCAATTCTACTGGTTTCTCACCCTCCCTCCCCTGCTGATAAGCCATTTGGCATATTTTTTTATTCCCCTGTGTTTTATTTTCTTTTTCACTCACAAAATGTAAATGTTTATTCATCATCAATTTGAATGCATTTCATTAAATGTCATTAACGCGTTCTCTTTTTTATGTAATGCTCCACCCCGCTACCGCTCAGTTGCTAGTCGTTGCCTTGATTTAACAGTCAAATGAATTGAGTGTTTGTGTGATCTCTTGCTACTCATCAACTCCCTACTTTTAGTCAATTTTTCGCCTTGACACATTTCAGAACTAACACATTAGCTCTACTTTCTTTTGCGCTTACTGCACAGTTTGCTTATAAACGGTGTGAATATTTTGCGTTAAATATGTTTTTAGCTGTCAAAGAAAAAATTAAATACAAAGATTTGATTTATTAAACTTTAGTTTATTTGATTTGGTTTGTTTTTTTTATTTATTTTTTATTTCGGTTTGTGAACGTTTATTTTTTATTTTATTTAATTTTTTACATTATTTTAGTTTATATAATTTTGTTTTGTATTATCTATTTTTTTTTATTTTATTATATTTTATATTATTTTATTTTATTTTTTATTATTTTATTTTATATTATTTTAATTATATTGATTTTATTTTTTTTTACCTTTCAAGCGGTCACGGTGCGTCGAATCTACCACGCTAAATAGATTTCGTTCATACTTATATTATTGAGTTATATTATTTGATTTTCTAGTTGCCTTTTTTCTGAATTTAAGCTGCTTGTTTTCGACTTTTTTGATCCTAAACACAATGATAATAGAATAAAAAAATATTTTGGTGTATTTTTTTTATTTTATTTTATTTATATTTTATTTTTGTTTATTGTTTTTTTTACTTAATTTTTCATCTTTTAAAAACAAAAACGTAGCCATTTATTACAGCCTTCCTGTCTGCATTCTCCAACCACTTTTCAACCGCAACCGCACAATTACAACAGCTTAAAATATTAGCTTGCCACTCAAAGCGAAGAAGAAAATTTATCACGAGCACGCTTCTTTCTTTCCTTCCTGCTTTTTTAATAATTTTAAGTTGTCGCTAAATTCAAATTGTTTAGATAACGAGGAAAATACGAGCGCAAGAAAATGAGCTTACGGAATAACTAAATACAAAGAAAATGGAAGAATAAATACATATATGTATATGATGAGCTTCCAAGCGGAGCGAATATGTACTTATAGGTGCAAGCAGCAAAATAAAATTCAAAAATAATACAATGTGGTTTATATTAAATTTTCAGGATTTATTTCCAAATTAATGAGCTAAGCTCAAAACCCAACATGTGACAGCAGTCAAATAGTGCACGCGCGGGAGGAAAATAATTTTCACACGTGTAAATTTATGTTACGTATACGCCATCGCCTTCTACTGCATGACATTCGTGCATAAGATTTGTGTTGGTGCATATGTTGGCATGTTGACTTTTGAAATGCTTGAATGCTTGTCGGTTGCAATGCAAAGAACTTGGATTGCTTAATTTTTGTGGTATTACTGAATATTGCGGTTAATGTTATCGTTGTTTTTTCTCTCCCCTACAACAGTTTGGAACGTGTTGCTTTATTCATAACTGCTGGAAAGTGTTGAATTTATTTTTCCTCCGTTTATTTTTTTACTGCTTTGCTTTTATGTTTGGAATTTTTTTTTTTGCTAAATAAATTAATTTGCGTGGCATTTATATCAACAGAGAATGGCTTGCGCGGAAAAAGTTTAATTTTTGTATATAATTTTTGAAAGCATGTTTTTAATTGTAATGTTATTTATTGATATTCGTTAAAAAAATGAAATAAAATATTAAAGTGTTTGAAATTAAAAAGATTATTCTAAAAATTTAGAAATTATAAATGATGATTTTATTAAATTCAAAATTTTTTCTTAAAATTAATTGTGCTTCTTTCTTGAAAGTAATTTTCACTTATACTAAAGTTTCAAATATTATTTGTCTACAAAATATAATAATAATTTCAAAGATATTTTTATTTGTGAAAAGGTTATTAAATTTTACTTTTTTTAATATTCTTTCAATGCGACTTTTCTACAAAGTTTAAAATATAGTTTTTTTCAGTAAAAAATAATGTGAATTTCTTCGGTTCTTTCCCAATTTTTTTCAGCAACTTTTGCTATTTTTTTAGTTTCCAAGGATTTTAATAAAGTTAAATATTTTTTCAACATAGAAAATAGTATATTCTTGAAAATAATAAAAATTTAATATTAATTTTAAAAATAGTTTTTTTGTCTACAAAATACAATAGAATTTCAAAGCTATTTTTATTTGTGAAAAGGTTATTAAATTTTAATTTTTTACTATTCTTTCAATGCGACTTTTTTTACAAAAAGAATAGTAATAGTTTCTACAAAGTTTTAAATATAGTTTTTTTTTTTCAGTAAAATTAATGTAAATTTCTTCGGTTTTTTTTCATATTTTTTCTTCAAAAAATTTTGCTATTTTTTTAGTTTTTAAGGATTTTAATAAAGTTAAATATTTTTTCAACATAGAAAATAGTATATTCTTGAAAAATTTGATTTTAATTTTAAAAATAGTTTTTTGTCTCGAAAAAAAATTATCTACAAATAAGCATTTACCTTTTTTGAGCTTACCAAGATTTTTAATAAAAATTAATATTTTCCTTCCTACAAAATAATAATAATTTTTATTATATAACTTTTAGCGTTATTTCAATAGTCTAAAATATGTTTTATT